TCTTCAATCAAATAATTCAACAAGGTAATATTCCAGCAGAATGAAGCAAAGGAATCATCTATCCAATTCCAAAACCAAAAGAGTAGAAAAACAATTTCGATATTACAAGACCAATCATCTTACTAGATGCAGAAAAAAAATTTTTTACAAAAATCTTATCTAATAGGCTAACCAGGTGTATCAAGGAAAAGGAAATCCTATTAGAACACAACTGGGCTGTACTTCCAGGAAACAGTATGCAAGACCCAATACACATAATCAGTAATATAATAGAACATGCCAAAGAAAACAAACAGCAAGTATGGATTCTTAGTCATGATATGTCCAAGGCATATGGCTTAGTCAATATCAAGATGCTGATGTTAGCCCTCAAAAGAATAAAGATTTCAGATCAAATAATCCAAATCCTAATCAATATATTGTACATCAAACAAAACTCTAATTACATGCCATGGCTCAATAGAGGAATACATATATAGGATAGAATTGATCAAGGAGACACAATCTTACCACTTTTGTGACAAATCTTTTATGACCCCTTTTGATCATAATTACGAAATGCACAAGGGATACACAATAAGCTCAAAATATTGTGAAGACCTAAAAAGAGGGGAAATATAGAACCACCAATATTATTAATAGCTCCTATATAAATGACACAACATAGATCACCAGCAATCAGAAAGACCTACAACAAGTTATAAACATAGCACAACAATTTTATCACATCAATGATATCCAAGTGAATTCATTAAAATCACAACTCTTAATCATTAATAAAAAAGATATAAACTATGAACAAGAGGTTAAAATGAACAAATTCAGAGTTGAGGATTGCAAATTGGGCATACCTATAAGAATTTTAGAAGTATAGTATGACAACTCTGGATGGAAAAAACATCAAAGAAATCTTATTCACCAAAAGATAAATAGAGCTAAAACCCTATTAATAATGAAAAAAATGACAGACAAGCAGATACAATACATTATCAATTATGTTCTCATGCTAAGCATAGAGTATTTATGCAATGACAAAGTCTTATTCAGAGCAATCTACAATCACCTAATAAGCAGAATAGCCCCAATATACAAGCACAAACTAGGCGTCGCAAATATAATTACAAATAGTATACTGTATAATAATCAGGAATACAACCTAATGCACCTGTGAGATAGACAAGTACTGTTACAACTGGATAATCAGAATCAACCTCAACAATACCACAAGCAGTATAGCTAGACATAGATCCCAATTATTACAAAATGCATATTGGTTCATGAAACCTGTCTTTGCCAGCATAAGATACACATTCTTGGAACAGGTGCAAACCTCACACATGACATAATCTAGTTACTAAGAATATATGGCTTCAATCTCAAGCAAATAAGAAATGAAGGCCTGTCAGTAATAAAAAAAGAAGAATGTCAAACTCTTCAAGAATTTATAAGTGAGGGCTTCTATAAAAAATATCAAAGTAAGCTAAAAAAACACAACCTACTTTTCACAGGTCAATTTCTCAATAGAGATGAACAAAAAACTCTACGATGGAATCAACTCATTAGAATTAACAAGATGCAATACAAGGATCAGTCTCATATAGTTCTTAAAGATAAAAAATAAACTAGATTAATAACTAAGCCTAGCAATATAACTAGTTGGCTTCTTACATAATAGTTTTCTTCAATGCAGATCAAATACAACAAGCAACATTGCAAGATCATACGGGATTGAAACAAAAATAAACAATCAAATTGTCATTGCAAAAAACAAAGGAAAATAAACAATGAATCAGTAATGTACAAACACTATACATATGACTCAGAACAATCTCCTCTACTAGAATGCTTAGGCTGTGATATTAACCAGTCAAACAATGTTAAAACCACTTGCAATTTTAAGCAATAAGGCAAACAACAGTTGAAATCTCAATTTACCATAGTAGAGTTTCAACATAGCAACATTTAACCAACAAAGAACTAAAATTCAAAAGTCAAATATTATCAAACTTCCTATCATTAGGCCTGCTAGCACTAACATATCCATCACACATAGGAAGGGATAAAGATATAGAAACTGAAAGCATCAAAAAGATTCTATATAGAACTATATATATAACTTATACAATATTAGTCAAGAACTCTAGAATGATATATACCTTGAAATTTATAATGATGGCTCTATACGCTAGCAAAATGAATAAAACCATATGAAAATAGGATGAACCTTAACAATCAAAAACAATAAATATTTCAATTTCCAAGGTCAAGTCCAAAACTTTTTCTCCTTAACCAGAGCAGAACTAATGGTTATTCTTATAGCTATTAGTATCCTTTCCCATTATAGCAGATCACAAATATCAACTGTATTCAAAAAATCAACAAGTTAATCATCATACAACACTATAAAAAACAAAAAAACTCAAACATCTTACAATTAATCAAAGAAATCTGCAAGCATAGAAATATAAAGTTGGAGCTATTCAAAGTTTGAGCATATATAAAAAACATACAAAATAAACTCATCAACCAGTTAGTAGAGATTGGCCAATATCAAGAAATAAAACCCAATATAAGAATCATCATACTCAAAACTGAAATGCTAAAAAAAATACATTTCTCTCACAATGGAATGAACAAGATCTAGAAGTGTTAATAAAAGAAACAACCAAAAAAATTACATAAGCAGTCCACTTGGCTATGTGGAGACTCTTGAATAGAACTAGAAACAATTTTGATGATCACTTAATTCAAAAAATTTATTGGTCCATCATCTTCAAATACCTTCAGATCACTAAAATGAGCAATTATACAACAAACTAGAAGAATCAATAACAAAGGAAATTCTTGCTAAGCTTATAGAATGAAGAACATTCCAAAAAACCAAACTGTACCACAGAGCACTTTCAATCTATAAAGATAATCAGTGTATCAAGTGTGAAGAAATGAAGACAAACAAATATTTCTTCATCTGCATCACATACAAGACAACAACAGAACAACACATAATCAATAGCATTATTAAAAATATTACAAAACACTTGAACAAGACCAACACATTAGAATTGATAAAAAAACTAAGGAAAAAACATTACTCTATTATAAGAGATATTTGAAGTGTGCAATCAGATGAGCTTTTCTTAAGGAAATAATTCAAATTATTTATAAGACAATTCCAGAAAAAAGATACAAATACAATTGCTAAATAGATATTAAAAAAAATATTACAAAATATCTTCAAAAGTTATAGAAAAAATGTTGCAAAGATTTTTAACTCTGGAAAGCACAAAAAGGCATCACCAAAATGATGGAGAAAAAATGCAAATATATCAAATATAAAATTGAACCATAGCTCAAGAAAAGAGAAAATTATATCAAAAAACAATTTATATATTTGATCAATAAATATATGAACAAAACTATTCAAAATATAACTATACCCTATATTATCCTGGAATTTTCATACAGCACTAGCCCAGCCTTGGTAGGTTAACATCCTCTGAAATGAGGTGGCAACAAGTTGTAAGGTAAGTATAGTCATAAGACTGTTTCTTTATTGAACTATATTTGATAAGCATATGTAGATATAGCATCACATATATATACTTACCATATTTCAAATAAAGTAAGACTAAGCCAGCGTTTAAAAAAAAAAAATACTTTATAATTATTTTCTGAATAGCATGCTTAGTTAATAAAATATTTTTTTAAATATTTTTTTTAGATTACTAATAATATTATTAAGTACATAACTTTAATTAATATAAACTTATTTAAATTTTAAAAATTAATTATCTTGTATTAATCAACTATTTTTAATAAATATTATACTATTTAAAAATTTAAGATTAAATAGAAATAGATAAAAATTTGTAGAGAATTATAAAGATATAAATTTAAAAATATTAAAATAGCTAATGAAAAGAAAAAAGACTTTTTTATTTTAATAAATTTTTATAAAATTTATTTCAAAAGTAACAAAGTTTTTAAATATTTTTTTAAAAAAACTTTCTTATTATTGATAAAAGTTTTGATCAAAAAGATTTGTAAATAAAATAGAGATAGAGTAAGAACTCTTTAAAATATTTTTTAAATTATTTTAAGAATAATAATAAGATTTTATTGATTAGAAAGTTTAAAAACTATTGATAAACATCTTTTTATGTGTAATTAGAGAATTGACAAAAAATTATTTTTGTTTGTAATTTTCATATTTTAATTTATAAATTATTTTATTATAATATATAATATTTATTTTATTATAATTAATTTTAATAATTAAGGTTTAAACTTATATACAATATTAAAAAATTATAAATTATTGTATAATATAATATTTTTAAATATTTTTTAATATATATTTTACTATTTAAAAAAAATTCTTTTTTGTATAATTACAATAATTTTCGTTATAAATTATTAAAATTTAAAAACTTAATAAAGTTTTAAATATACTGTATAATATATTTTAAATAATAATAATAAATATTTATTTTAATACCTTTTCAAATATAAAAGTTTTATCAAATAAATTATAAAATTATTATATATTATTTTTAAAATTTATTAATTTATTTAAAAATTTTTAATTTGTATTAAATTACCAATTTTTTTAAATTATATTAAATTACCAATTTTTTTAAATTATATTTTTAATTAATATTTATTATATAAGTAGTATTGTATTTATATTTAGTATAAATCAATACAAATTCTTTATGAGCTGCTTTATAAATTATATCAAAATAAAATACAACGCATGTACAATGCATGCACAGTATACCGTATATAAACAAATAAACAACAACATTCTGCATCTCATTAAATGCGGATTCTATGAAACTGCAGGATATTCTTGTCAAACATCTTTCTCTGTGTAGGACAAACTAAATGTCGACATTTATATTGTTCACAAGTAATCACCAGTTGTTCCATCAATTTTGTTTCTCTTTATTTCTTCGATAGTGGCATCAATTGCAATAGAATGCCTCGGACATTAAGCGATGTCGAACGTTATTTCTTTCGATGAATTTCAAATAAACAAGCCTGTTAGAACTATTAATTATGGAACTATATATATAGCATATTGGAAGAAAAAGAAGTCTCAAGAAGTTGCGTTAAAATATCTATCAGAAACTGAGGTGGACATCAATGACATATTGAAAGAGGTATAATTTTGATACAATTTTGGTTTGTTTTTTTTGTTCTGCTGAATTAACAATACGATAATAGGTACGCGAAATTAAAGAAAAAACACATGAAAATGTTACCAAAATATTAGGAGTTACCAAAGGTATGAAATCCATGTAAAAGTTATCGAGATATCATGACTAACCATATTTAAATATCAATAGATGAAGAAAAACAAGCAGTAGTAATCGTGTTACAGAAAACTGATAGTAACCTTCGTGAATATTTGAAAGGTAAAACCGATGATAAATCTTTAGAGTTGAGGGATAAATTAAAATTAGCATATGAGATATCAAGTGGATTGAACTTTTTACATTTATCTGGCTATGTTCACCGAAATTTGGTAACGATTTTCTTTTATAAATGTTAATCTTAAGATTAAAATACTTTTCTAATTAGGTCACCATTCATAAATTAGCATAGCTTAAACATCTTTATTTCAAACCATAAGGCCGTCATTATGGATCCAAGGCTTTCTATAATTCTTAACGAAACCCAACCATTAAACACATTGAAAAACACAATCCCCTATGTAGCCCCTGAGATTCTGGAAAATATAAATAATATTCCAAATTTTAAAAGTGATGTTTACAGTCTTGGTGTAATATTCTGGGAGATATCAAGTGGGCACGAACCATTTCAAAATTATGATGGCATGACCCTAATTCAGAGTATCATAAACAACAACAAAAGAGGGTCACCGGAGGATATCCCTAATGACTATGTTGGACTATACACGAAATGTTTGGATAGCAATCCAGATCTTCGCCCGAATACGCAAAATATTTGCTTAAAACTGAATGATATGCTCAAAGAGAATCTTAAAGGTAGTTATTTAAATACGTAGACTTTTTTATGCAGGTTTTATTAACAAATGTCAATTTAAATATAGATCGGAAAGTATTTGTATCGAAAAAAGAAATACCGAGATACAAAATAAACAGGTTTGCTGGTTTTATCTTTTATATTCAGCGCGACATCACATCTTTATTTTTATTTTATTTTATTTTATTTTATTTTGTATCCGATGAAATAGTCCGAAGAAACTTAAGAAAAAACTGCAAACCTTTTACCAATCTGTCAAGAAGGTGTTATAAGTTTATTAAATGTGCTTTTTTAAATAGCAGAACATTAAAAGTTTATTAGATGGACAAAGAACTAAAATAGATTTAAATTATGATTAAAGTTTTGATTTT